CTGCATGAGTTTCAGCACACGCAGTGCAGTGGGTTGTGCCGCGTTTTTGATGCGTTCTGGGCCGTTTTTGGTAAAAAAAAATATATATATATATTTTTTTGTTTAAATTGGGCTTTCAGTGCGTTCCAGGCGTTTTTGATGCGTTCCAGAGCAGGTAAAATAGGGCCTGCTGCAGTTTTTTTACCTCCTCTGGAACTGAACGCTCTGATGTTAAGTGGAGCTAAAAATACCATTGGAATACATTGGACGCAGTTTTGCTCTGCTCTGTAACTGCTCTGCACCTGCTCCACGCTTGATGTGAACAAGGCCTAATAGTAATGCTAGTTACTATTCATGCTAGTAATGCTAGTTAGTTCACCAGCTTCTGGGGCCTGGCTACCTCTGCTATGTGTGAGGGTGATGGTACACACGCTGATGAGAAGGTAGTAAACTGGAGGACGCAAATTAAAAATCTCACCTGCTACCGATATCTGAACTGTGGGCGGATCCACGCTTGACACACAATACATTTGCTGCTTACACACAAGCCAAATACCTGCAGCAGACGCTTTCCCATAACAGCTGTGAATCTTCTGTCTTGCTGTAATGTGACTGAATGGGGAAGTCCTGGAACCTGCTCTGTCACTAAGTCAGTACATAACTTTGCAGTGGAAAATGGGATCAATTTCTTCTGGCACAATATCAGCATCATACAAAACAAAATTCTGCTTCTACTGCAGATATACAATACCAATGGATTATTTTCCCTTTTTTATATTTTTCTTTTTGCTTTATAGCGAAAATAATAAAAATGATGCTTCTGTGCCTGACTATGTATGCTGCTTTTGCTCATCTTCTAAAAATGCTAGTTGCCCAGCTGTTGGGGTAATCCATTGGCTTCATTTCTTTATGTTACCGACTGTATTTGTTGCATGCTTGTTCCAGCTCAAATTACTGAAATATTCAAGCCAGGGACAGCTAATTAGGGCTGCAACAACTAATCAATTCATTGATTGTTCAATTATTTGCAGCTCTGCTCCTCCCCGCTGGTGCTGGCTGCATCGGTCTGTGTCCTTTTCAATCCCCATTGCTCTTCCCGCCTGTATCAGCAGAGGCAGCGGGGACACAGATCACTGCAGTCGGCACCAGCGGGGAGAAGAGACTGTGGTGACTCTGCATTCCCCCCCGCTGCCTCCTCTTGTACCTACGCTGCCCCATTCCTCCTCCGCCCGCCCTATTCCCTTCTCCTCCTTGTGCCGGTATTCTATCAATCCCTCGGCCTCGAGTCCGAGCGATTGATAGAACAGCGACGTCAAGTTTCCAATCAGCGGCTGGAAACAATAGCCAGCCTGCTATTATATATTTTAAAATTGCAATACCCAATAGCAGGCTGGCTATTGCACCCACTCACTGTCAATCAGCAGAGAAGGACTTGAAGGAGAACTTTCTCCTTCAGTTCCCTCCTGTGCTGGTAGGCAGCCTGCTAGTGTAATTAAAAAGTAGCCAATAGGAGGCTGGCTATTGCACCCAGCCACTGCATGCTGTATTTAAATTCAGCTGCCTCAGCAGGCAGCTGTCATTCCCCAGTGAAGTGGAATGGTGACACTAGGGGGTCTTAAAGATAACCTGTCATCTCAAATGTGCTATCACATAAGGGATTTGTGTGTTGTGGTGCCATTCAGTTCCATTGCTCCCCAAACGTTCCTCCTGTCCGCAGTGTGATCGCCCGCACTGGAACGCATGGTGCTGCAATGTGCATTGCAGTGCCGTCCGATTGCAAAAAAAAAGTGCATGCAGATTTATACGGAAGTAAAATTTGCTTGTAACACTCCACTTGTGCATTTCATTTTAAATAAAATATGGTATGTCATTTTTTTCTTAACCAATTAAATCGGAAAAAAAAAATATTAGGCCAACTAATCAATTATGAAAATAATCGTTAGTTGCAGCCCTACAGCTAAGCAACCAGAATTTACAGATGGAAGTCAGAAATGGCAGCCTGTATGTATTTTTCTGAGCAAGGTTTAAAAGAAGCGTTCTAATCAGACCATGACAAAAAAGCATGAACCAGAGGCCATTTGTGTTTATATGACTTCTATCTTCCTACAAGCACAGAACTAGCACAACAACCCTCCAGATCTGTGCTTTTAATTATTGCTGGGTAAAGGAAATTGGTTCTGAGAGAATTGTGAAGCAGTGAAATAAGAAAACTAAGCTGCATTCTTTTGTCAGGTTAGTAATTCAGGAAATACTGAAGCCAGCCTTCATAAACAGTCTTTGTTTCACCCGCTTACCTTGATCCTAGCCAATGAGAACCCCTCTATAGGCTATTGAGGTGCTTGTAGTAGATAATGGGGTGGCATGTCAGTGGGACTTCACTTCTAGGTTGGGTTTAGCCCGCTACTAAATGAGTGCAACCTGAATCAGCACACAACAGAATGTTATCTGGTTAATAAAGGCAACAGCTATCAGTTTGTGACACCTGCTTTTTTTTGTTTCATTTTAAAAAGGCAGACAAGTTTGCATTATAAGAAGCTTCGAAGCAGCTCTGGGCAGTATTTGCCTCTACTGGAGAGGAAAATGGCAGAAACGACATTAGTACCATAATGTGAAAAATCTCCGGTTCTGATAAACTCCCAATACTAATACTCCTAATAACTGAAAACTCTTCACAACACTTCATACTGGCATTCTTGTTTACTAGCCATTTGAACACAGAACCGCAAATATAGAGTTTGATTTTTCTTTTTTTTTACAAACAGCTGGCATGCACTGAGTGGCGCGATTATTATGACCACCCCATCAGTACTTCGTTGGGGCACGAGATGACTCCACGAGATGTTGAAAGGTGATGCGAGGAATCTGACACTGCACTGTTGCCCTTCTGTTGTCTTGTACCAGTCTTGCCACTCTCCGTTCTGCCCTAACATTGACTAGTCGCTGACTGCCACAATTCGCACGTTCAGACCCAGATTTTCGGCTGACAGTCCAGTCTTTAAACACTTTAACAAGAGCTGCTCTTGAACATTTAACGCATTCTGCTGTTTTGGTGATACTCGCTCCATGGCTCTGATCGCCAACAATCACCCCACGTTCAAAGGCTGTTAAATCGCGTTGTTTACCCATATCTTCAGAAAAAAATCACTTCTACTGTCGTGGTAAACAACCTGCTTCCCTATTTATAATGGTCTGGATCTCTAGCAACTTCAGCGCGAAATTATAGCTAATATGCCTTCAAACGTCAGGTGGTCATAATAATCTGGCCACTCAGTGTAAATCATAGTTCTAACTTCTTCAATAATAGATTCTTAGATGCTTTCATTTTTCTAACTTGGTCTATAAAAGGTGCAAGCCTAAATGATATTCTCCTTTTTTGCAGATACCTTGGGAAGGTATACCATATGTAAATTGCTTGTAAAGTGGGGGAGGAGTACTAGTTAAAGCAGGGAAGATCTGCTTCCATGTTTTCTGTGGAAATGTAGGAAGGATGAGGAATTTTAAAAAGGGATTTTTACTCTGATCTTAAAAATGACAACAAAGAAACTCTCTCCCTTTACTTCCTGGGACTCTGGCTCTGCCTTCTAGAACATATGAGTGTGCATCGTCTGAAGGGGAAGGAGTGCCATTCTCCAAAGATCACAGAAGATTTTGCAGTTACAGATGAGATTTCACAGGAAGGCACTGGTGATGTATCCGTCCCAGGAAGTATGCAAGTCCAAGGCTACATCTCCTCTGCCTTACTGAACCAGGAAGTTCAGGGGGGGTTAAAGGTCCACTTTAAAACTAGGCAGCATTCTCCATACAAAAAAAAAAAATGTTGATGCTTCTACATTAGGGTATGTATTCATATGCATAATTATACACTGCCTGTACAGCAACACCATTATCAACTTCTTGTAGGCATCCAGTAGCAGAGGCTAAGAAAAACCTTCCCATTGTTATGCTTGGCACATATGGCCGCACTGATTTGAGAAATTACACTCAGCATTCAGCTAGCTTTTGCTACTCTTTTTTTTTTTTAGGTTTTGCTGCAGAAGATACAAGCAGCAAGATGCCACCTTGGTTGATAATGCTAAAATTTGATTATGCACAGTTTCTTGTAATACATTGAACCATGAGAAGTTTTTCTGGGAAGTCTAATATGACCTTTACTGAAGACAATACCCTCATCCTAAACAGCATGTAGTCTCCCTGCCTGTGTGTTCACGCTACTCATCTGAGATGAGAGATCTGCTCTCCATTATGTGGCAGGAACAACATATTTCACAAAGCCAGGAGACTACAGGCCATGCTGCTTGGAACTAGATTTAATCTTTAACTGCCTCCTTCTCGTAGTAGAAAAACGGCCGGCCCGGAGCTCTCTAGATCTTAATTTTTCCTAATTATAATAAAAAATAAAAACCCCAGTGGTGATTAAATACCCCCAAAATAAAGCCCTATCTGTCCCCAAAAAATGGTATAAAATTCATTTCAGTACAGCGTTGCATGACGGAATAAACGTCAGTCAAAGGACTGCAGCGCTGAACACTGAAAAATGGCCTGGCCAGGAAGGGGGTCTAAACACCTGGTCTTGAAGTGGTTAAACAGGGTAACCTTTGATATTGGCGGTTTATTCCCCAGTGGCTGCAGAGACTAAAACAATTCTTATATTCATAAAGGAAAATTAAAATGATGTTTAAGAGCACAATACAAATATTCAGCTAGAGAATCAGTTTAAGGGCCTGTTAAACAGGGTTTGGGCTTTTGTCGAAAGTCAAATGCAGCTCTCTTTTGACATCAATTTGAGACTTCTCCGAGATCATTTAGAATGCATTTGATCTTCAGTTGACCATCTTTTGGTCTGCTTCAAGCTCTTTTGCCTTCCTATATGCTTGGAGGAGAAAAGCAGTTCTGAAGCAAACAAAATACACACACACACATATATATACACATATACATATATACACACACACACACACATATATAAAATTTGTGTATATGACGTGAAGACAAAAAAAAACTGAAAACACGGTATTTGGTTTAGAGAGTCTATCACAAAATCAGTTTATTCTAAATTTTAAAAAAAATTAAATTAAAAAAAAGCCTTCCATACATTGCTGTTCTAGTTCCAGTATGATGTATTCTGGAACGTGCATAGTGATCACACTCGGCAAACTCTAAACCTAACAGATCACGTGAATTTTATAGAATGAACAAAGGATTCAGTTAGTGACTGCTAATCCCTCCGATAACAATTCCTGCTAATCAACATAGGAATTCATAGTACAGACACACCATCCTACCCTCTTCCACAGGATTTTTGGATGCTGCAACCACTGGCACATGGACTTGGTGTGATCAGGTCATGCCCTGTCTGGCAATTTGGGGGTTAAAGCACCTTTTAAAATGTGGTAAAACCTGAAGTGCAGAATAAAAATAAATGACGTATTACTCTTTCAAGGTTGCAAATAGTTATCTTTGTCAGGAATCTCTGAGCTCCATAAATGTGAACACAACAAAGAAGTAAACGTATTCAATATAAAACTCACTTCCCAAAGAAACCTCTAGCAGGTGATGCTTTGTTTTTATGAGGCTCAGGAGTCCAGACAATTTCAGTAAGGCTGCTTAACCCAATTCACTTCATACACTACAGAGACAATCCTAAACCACTGTGCCCAGATGTCCATTCAGAAGGACAAGCTGGGCTCCCATGCAAACTGACTTCAATTCCCGACATTGTTACCTACAATTTTAGACATTATAGGATCAAGAACTAAAAGGAAAATGGTTTTCAACCTCCCTTTATCAGCTGAAGCTTATGTTGCCAGGGGATACTTCTGTCCGCAGGCCCAGCTGGCCTCCTCCTCATTCCTGGGCAGACTAGGGCCCAGATACAGACAGGACGAAGCCCCTGGCCCTCAATATGTGTCGACATCTACCTCATCACTTAATGGGGTCAGTCTTATGTGAAAGGTTTGATACAAAGGCCTGAATGAAAGCACAGCCCACACCCGCTGTCCTGTAAGATTCCAGAGTTCAAATACAGATACATCACTTCCTCCGGTCCTTCCTCTCTGAACGTCGGCTTTGTTGGCCCTCTGCATTGCGTGGCATGAGTACTATGTTGTCATTGTTGGTGTAGTGTAAGGCATATCCTTGAGGAGAGTATGGCCGCCCTTCCTGATCTCTAAGCTGGCTAAACACTTCCTGATAAAGGCTTTCTACTTCCTGCTTCATTCTCTGGAGTGATCTCAAGTTTTCTCCTTTTTCTCTTAACTGAGAGTTACGTTGTCGACTTAAACGCTTCACCTCTTGTTCCAGGTTCAAAATTGTGTCCAGTTTTCTCTTGCGGCAGTTCTGAGCTGCCATCTTGTTCTTTCCTCGCCTGCGAATATCTCGCACTAAGCAAAGCTGTGCCTCAGTAAGTTGGTACTTGGTCAGCAGCTCATTAAATTCCTCTACAGGCATGTTAATAATCTTATCATTACTAAAAGGAATTTTCATAGCTCTTGCTCTTTGCTCATCTCTTCCTGCTTGTCTATCTAAAAACCTTGAAGGTCTTCTGCTGCCTCTTGCCCCTGTAGGTTGTGGCTGCTCCTCTGGCTCTTCAGGAACCATATTGTAAGTATGATTGTGCCCAACATGCTCAAGAAATAGCAAGCGCTGAAATCGGCTAGGGTCCTCAGAGCTCATTCGGCAGAACTTGCTGTATTCCGGCTGGTAATCAATGGATTCTTCTGACTCCTCAGGCTCCACCATCTCAGAATCAGAACTGTATCCTACTGCTCCTTCTTCAGAGAAAGAGGAGGAAGAGGATGAGCAGGAAGAAGAGGAAGATGATGTCTCAGACCCACTAGGAGACACTGGACTACGGTGAGAGTCTAGAGAGAGACCAGAATCTGAATCTAGTTCTTCTTGGAGCTGTGAGGCTTGCATTTGGCTGAATCCTTCCTCCATTGCTAGCTCCGTAAGGCTAATCTCATCCAGCAAAGCTTGATCCAGGATTCCACTAAGTGGATCTTGCAGGACATTACTGGCTGTTACATTAGCTGTATTATTTTGCTGTGAAGGAAACAGAATTCCAGAAAAGTTTGTAAAACCAAAAGTGGAATTCAGGTCAGTGGAGTTATGAGAGGAGAGCTGAAGCAGTGGGGATTCAGGGATAGGAAAATTCTCTATGGTGGGACTGTAGAGAGACATATTTTGAGAACAACCCTGAAAAGCGGTTTGGTGGATGTCTTCATTCTGCTGGAGTGATGGGTCCATGCTCAGATACAAGGGGTCCTCAGCTGAACTGTTCATGTCCATGGGCTACAAAAATAAACAAGTTCGGGAAATTTAATAATGATAATGCACACTCAAGCAAAACACATCTACAGCATTTCTCTATTATAATGGCAAGCGTATCGGGGAACCTTTTGCCCACGCCAAGATTTTGAACTCTGACCTGACAATGTCTGTACTCCAGATGATAAAACATGCTGTATGAAGTCATGACTAACAGAATAACCTCTAATATATAGCAGAAGGTGGTCCAAATCAGGAAATATTTTAAATTAAAGCAGTCAAGCTTTAAATCAAAAGGCATTTTATCTAGATGTTTTATTAATTAGAAAACACACAAGTAAAAATCTTACTGTATACCAACAACCCTGACCTTGTTAAACAGAACTCACTAACATCGGGGAGGGTGTTAACAGCGATATTTCCATGTTTGCGGATGACACCAAAATAGGGAGTGTAATAGACACGGACTTAGACATTATAACATTACAGGAGGACCTGAATAAAATAGGGGAGTGGGCATTAATGTGGCAGATGAGGTTTAATGTCGATAAATGCAAAGTAATGCACTTTGGAATTAAAAATAAACAAATGGGTTATACGATTATGGGTATGCCGCTGGGGAAGTCAGAAATGGAGAAGGATTGGGGGTCATTGTAGACCACAAACTGAAAGGTAGTTTGCAGTGCCAGGCTGCTGTTCTGGTCACCAGTACTAAGAAAAGATGTCCTTGAGTTGGAAAAAGTCCAGCGAAGGGCAACCAAACTAATTAGGGGTATGGAGGACCAGAGCTACGAGACGAGGCTACTAAATTTAAACATGTTCACATTAGAGGTGAGGAGATTAAGGGGGGATATGATTTCCATGTACAAAATGTTTAATGGTGGTAGCAACATTAGCGATAAACTGTTTAAAATTAACTCCGTTACAAAAACTAGAGGCCATCACCTAAAATTGGTGGAAAAAAAATTCCAGCACAAGGGGCGAAGGGGGTTCTTCACAGTAAGATCAGTTAGGGTCTGGAACTCACTGCCACAGGCGGTGATTTCAGCAAATAATGTGGAATTGTTCAAGAAACTTTTGGACGATTTCTTAAGGGACCGTAATATACAGGGGTACGGGTACTCCTAGAATGAGATCCTAATAGGTTGGACTTGATGGACTAATGTCTTTATTCAACCTCAAATACTATGTAACTATGTAACTAAAACAGCCCTCCTGAGTTATCATTCAGAACCCTCTTAGAATAGAAATAAGTAGTACCCAGTCTCCTGCAGCCCCTTGTAAACAACATTGTACCACTCCATACATTGCTTGGTGGTCTGAAATCTGAGCAGAGATAACTGCACTGCGATAACCCTTGTGACTACAGAAAAACAAGCCACAATCTATGTTCAACAGCAAATTAAATTTTAGATGACTGGTTTTATAAGAAGCCATAGTAGCAACAGTCTCAATCCTATCAGAAGTTATTTTCCATAGATATCCCCTCCAATGGGACATTTTCAAATGATCTTCAGGCAGAAAAGAACAGATTGCCATGTGCTCAAGCTATGTATTTATTAAAAAAATATTAAATGCATTTTTAGACTCTGTATTTAGCTTTGGGAATCCTCTGCATTCTCAGCAATACCTCTCCCTCGTACAGTCTACCATGTACCTTGCATAGAGCTATAGAGGTGTCAATCTAAGGGGGATATCTAAACAACAGGAAGAGAGTGATGTTCTATTGACTGTTGTGATACACCTTTATTGGCCAATCAGAAGTGTTCGGGTGGCCAACCTGTATTGTTTCACTGCAGTGCAGAAAAGTGACGCCACCGATCAAGCTAGGATTTTTGGCATGGGTGCCTGAATTTCATGCCTGACCGAACAAAATTATAACCGTTTTAGCCGGTAAGACAGTTTAGATATAGGATATATTTCTGTGCAGCCATTTGCCTGAAGTTCAACTATAACTACAGTTTTAGATCACTAGTGAAACTGCAGATTATTCAGTTCACAATTAAAAAGTTAGTACCTGCATATCCATGAGTGACATCAGGTCCTGCCATTGCTCCTCCAAGTCCAGAGGGTTCTCAATATCTGGGAGAAATGGGGACAGCAAACCATCTGCTTGTTGTAAATCTGTCTGGTCTGGCTCTGTATCCAATATATTTGTTGGGTCAGGAGCTGGAAACTACAAAAAGTAGAAGTCAGACTAGACTGTAACTAGGTCTTGTACACATGTACACCCTGCTCTTATATAAGCAGAAGCCCAGCAAGCTTTCACAAAGCATTTGAAAGGCTTTCAGCAAGCTTCAAGCAGATTTCTAAAGAGCTTTAAAACAACCTCCAGCTCTGCAAAGTTACTTATAGACTCAAATGAGCGTAGTAAGTGACTTAATTATACTTACCTTTTTCAGATGTCTTCAGGCTGGTTGTGCAATTTACAGAGTTCTCTTTGAAATTTCACTAGCAGTGCTCAATGATGCAGAAACATGTGTTGACATGGAGGTCAACATCATTCTCTGCATCATGTGAGGACAGAGTGTTCGTGGTAGGTCAATGTTCCAGGTTCAATGTTGGTGGGTGACATTTGACCAGTAAAAATGAGGATATCTAGTGATGCAAAAGAATTACTGTAGGGAATATGGCCGGATAGGGAGCCAGTATTGCAGCTAGACCTGCAATTATGGTTTTAAAAACCTGCTGGGGCCCATAATTTTTTTTATTTGCCCAGAAATGGGTTTTAGTCCCTCTTCACACCAGGGCATTTGTAGCTAGTATTTTTCAGCATGGAAAAGCTCCGCGTTCATGTCTCAGCACAGCGTCGCTCTGAGAAAAAAAAGCTGGTCCTTGGAAAAAAGTGCACAAGATTTTTTTTTTGGCCAGATCAGCGTGATTAGGAATAGGAAAAAGGATCACATCGCACTGATCTCCCTAAAAAGAAGCGCATATTTTACAGGCTTGTGCGGAGCTTTTTCGTGCTGCAAAATACAAGCTACAAATGCCCTGGTGTGAACGGGGACTTAAATTGACAGTCCCATTAAGATCTTTTTTCTTACTTTCTATAGCTACCGGGTGCTATAGAAGCTTTAAGCAATAAACTTGAGGCTTGCTGAAAGCTTTACAAATGTTTCGTAAAAGCTTGCTGTACACACTGTTCTTCTACAAGTTAAAACCCATATGTATGAGGCCCGCGCGGCGAGCGTCACTTCCGCCCTGACAGCTCATGTCCTCCTTCCCCCTGTCTCCACGAGGGCCGCCGCACAGCACCTCTTCAGCGGCCGACCGACGCCCAGAGACCAGGACCAGGGGATGCCGCTGTCCACCACCGAACTGACGAGCTTGCACCCGGCACCAGGATCAGGTAGGAGCGCCACACTCAGCCAACACCACTCTATAGTGCACTTGAAGCAGGGGTTTAAGGACTAGGGGAACTCCTCTGAGTCCACTACATCAACAGGCTGGTTGTCCTGCATACTCTTATGCCGGGAAACCATAGGCAATTGCTCCTTGGACAGTTGGGGCTGTCCCGGAAGCCCCCCTCCATAGGTACCCCAGGTCCACTGACCCTCTGCTGTACCATGTTGGGGGGGAAGCCCCTGCTCACTAGCACGTAGGCCTAGGAAAAAAATAACAAACGTTACGATGTCCTGCTCGGCCGGAGGAAACACAAAATAACTGAAGTGTGCTAGGCTGGTACTCTTTTTATTCTAGGTGTGGGTGATGTGTTTCCTGTTTCCGGTGGGAGGAGCCTATCTCTCTAATGCTGTCCTGGAAGGTGACTAGAGAAAACAGCAGTAAAAATGTCAAACAGCACCAGTTACCTCTGAAGAATCAAATTGAAAAGTGTCATCCAGGAGACTCAGGCATTCTGCCAATGACATAGCGGTCTGACCCTAAAAAGGACAACAACGATCAGTACTCCAAAAAAGGTATAAAGAGTATGGGTCTTAGTAGTAGCAAAGTGTGACTCACCTCTTGAGGTACATTCTCTCCAGTCTCCCCATCCACTTGCAGCCTGTGTTCCACTTCTTCACTTTCTGAGGTATCACCCAAGGATTCCCAAACTTCCTCATGGTCTTTGTGCTGGCGACTCTCAAAATCTTCTCGCCCAGCTCCAAGGTCAATATCCTGAAGCCATAAAATGTCTATCGGATCAATTTCCTGGAAGGTGAAAACCCAAAACACATAAACCCTCTCCTGGGAAAAAAACACAACCTAAGCCACCAAAACTGAAGCATACATTTAGGCATATTATTCCCTTTGTCATTCAAGAATATGTATCCCACAATTATCAAAAATATCTTGATTTAAAGTGCCAGGGTCTTATGCTGGATGTGAGTGCGTACACACAAAACATTGCTATTCAAAATTGGGTACCAGCAGCGATGGTTTGAACTGAAAGCACCACAATTGCTGAAAAATGATGGACATCATCCCAACGGGATATACAGTTGTAATCAAAATTATTCAACCCCCATTATTGGCAAAATCTACAAACTTTCAGTTGTTTGCAATGAACAAAAGCAAACAAAAGCAATTAAAATAGGTCAACACAATGAATGTTTCAAGTGATTTCCCCAAATTCATCTGAAAATGCAACTTTTAATGACTTCTGCAGTCTTAAAATGATTCAACCCCCTGAATAGAATCCCTCACAAGAGCACAATTCTGCAAAACAGGTGTTGTCTCAAGCACACCTGATGTAAACTTATCAAGGGCTTCATTAGTTGCACCAGGTCTTATATTACCGCCAGTCAATCAATGTAGTGTAACATAGATGCCACCAAATTATATAAGAACACCATCTGATATGCAGGGTGCCCAAACAGCAACTAGCTGCTATAAATGAGTCACTGAAAGTTTATGGTTATAACATGGATTGACTGACAAAGTGGAAAGTCATGTAAAAAGAACCCTGTGAACACAAAATAAAGGTGCTTAAGCCCAACACTAGACATGCATAGGGTTGAGTGTTTCCATAGAAAACCCAAGCCATCACTGAACCTAACCACCTAGTAATTAGGGCTGCAACCAACTAATCGATAATTATGAAAATAGTTGTCAACTATTCTCAATTAGTTGGTTGGATTCCATAGCTCTCTCCTCCACGCTGGTGGGAGAGTGCAATAGCCAGCCTTTCACTAAAGCAGTAAATTGGTTATTTGGGAGACAGTATAGTAATACCAATACACAATTACCACATAAACCAATGGTACTCCACTAAGCAGTAAATTGGTTAATGTGTAGATAGTATATTCAGAGTAAAGGTGCCCATACACCTTACAATTATCTGCTGATTTTCTGTGGTCAGATGGAAAAAGTGCAACAGATTGGCCCAGGTGGAGATTACTCCATCCACACAGTTAAGTGTAGATGGAGGAATCTGTTGCACCTTTTCCATCTGACCACAGAAAATCTGCAGATAATTGTAAGGTGTATGACCAGCTTTAGACTTACCGGTAACTCTTTCCTATAGTCTTCCAGAACAGCTTGCAAGAGATAGGCTCCTCCCCTTTTGTAGGAAACCCCTTAGACACTCTAAGGTACTCCAGCAGACACCTCCTAACATCCAAACGTTAAAAACTTGCTTCTTTATCGTTAGCCGGATTACCGCAAAAAGAAGGCAGAATGATGTCCTGTGACCTATGACAGTTCGAGGAAACCTTCGGGAAAAAAAGCCGGATCTGTTTTTAAAACAATCCTGTCCTCAAAAACTTTTAAGTATGGCTCCCTCCACGAAAGATCTTGCAATTCACTGAGGTTTTAGCAACTAAAAATACGGTTTTCAAAGAAAGCATTTTGATGGGTAGATCTGACAATGGCTCAAAAGGAGCAACCATCGGACCTTAAAGGACTAAGGACAAATCCGTTTTGGGAACTGAACAAATCCTAACCAGCCTGATTCTCCTGAGTGCTTTAAAGAATCTACACACTAGCAGGTCGGAAGCCAGGGGCCATTGAAGGAATACACTCAACGCTGAGATTTGTACCTTCAATGTGCTGATAGCTAAACCTCTATCAGCCCCATCCTGAAGGAAATCCATAACAGTGGGAATACCCATGTTCTTGTTGTGTTTTCCCTTTCAAGAACAGAAGGTCTTCCAGACCTTACCATATATCTGTCTTGTGACAGGCTTACGGCTAGACAGCAAAGTTTCAATCACCCAGTCAGAAAGACCCTTCCCCTTCAAAATCGTCTCTTCAGATAGAAGGCTTTGAGGGAGAGTCTTCCCACTTCCGGATGCTGGACAGGCCCCTGAGATAACAACCGCTTGTTGATTGGGAGCTGCCAAGGAGGATAGTCCGTCAAAGATAGTAGCGACGTGAACAAGGCTCTCCTGGGCCAAAATGGGGCTATTAGAATCAAGACTGTCTTCTCCTGGAGAAATTTCTGCAGGACCCTTGGAATTAAATGAATAGGTGGGAAGGCGTAACAAAGTTGGTAAGGCCATGGGACCGACAGCGCATCCACCGCTACTGCCCTGACTGACTCAGAAAAAAAAAGTGGTTAAATTTCGCATTGCCCTGCGCAGCAAACAGATCTACCTGCGGGGGGCCCCGCTTCTGAGCCAGAAGGTCGAAAGCCTCCTGATCCAAGCTCCATTCGTCCTGGAGCACCCGAACCCGACTCAGAAAATTGGCTATCGCTTGAAGGAAGCAACTCTGTGTGCCACCCTGCTTGTTCAAATAAAACATGGTGCCTATATTGAAAAAACTCTAGCACTCCTCTGATGGAGCCCCTGATACATTAGGTCATGCCTAGAAAGAAGGACTTTCTCCTCCTGAATCTCCAACGTATCATAGATGGCCCCCAGCAGCTCATCCACGTCCTCCAGTGACAGCTTATATTTAGAAATACTGGGACTATCCTCCCTTTCGTTTCCGTCCTCAGCAGAAGAACCCTGCTGAGAGTGTGCAGAGAACCTATGTTCCCCTGGCTCTGCTTCCCCGTGGGAAACCTCTACCGGAACTGACACCTGAAGGGGAACTGGGGACCCAGGCAGTAGAGTGGACCTAGCCGGTAGCCTCAAATCCGTCACAAGGGACCTAAAAGGAGCTGAGGGTGGAGGTTAGCTCTTAACTGCACATTTCTTCTTTGCGACCCCTTTGACTTTGGAAACCGTAGCCTGCAAGACAGAATAAAGGAGGAATTACCACCCAAGTCAGTTCTCCTAAGGAAGACTAAAGTGCCCCCTCAACACCATATGCCCTACACTAAGGAGCCCCAGGTGGAGGAAAACAGGGTCAGTGCTACAGGGAGGAGGTATAAGACATACACCTACCTGAGCAGGGCTGGTGCCAGATGCAACTGAATCAGTCTGTGCAGCGTGGAGAGGAGCGACAGGATCCATCATGCAGCACACTGTTCCACCGCTGGCGTTCTCACAGATAGGCCTGTAATAACGCCTTGCACCCAGCCAGGGCCCTCCCTCTTCATTTGCGCCGAAAACAAGGCCTGGAAAGCAAGGCCGCAGCGCCCGCAAGTTGCGTCACCCACGAACGCCCAGGCCGGCGTCCCCTGACCCACAGGACGCACGGTACAGCATTCAGCCAAGGGGGCAGCGCAGTTCCGGTTCCGGCCGTCCCTGGGCACCGAAGACAAAGAGGAAGTCAGTGAAAATCCCTATCAGCAGAGGGGCGCACTGGTGGGCACATATAAAAGTTATAGTGACCCATTACCCAGCAGTATTTTTGCAGGTCTCCCGGGGGGGACCCCCATACTTCAGAGAGGCTCCCTCACCATTCCTGGTGATGTGGCCCGCCTGACGGAGGAAACACGAAATCCTGAAGAGCTAAGGGAGAGGCGGACCTTTTAAAACAACTGGGGGTGGCGTGTTTCCTACAAAAAAAAGGAGGAGCTTCTCTCGCAAGCTGTTCTGGAAGACGAAGGGGAAAGTTACTATCTAATAGTATAGTTAGAAAAGTTCAGAGTACAATACTGAGATTCACAGCTTCATCAAAACCTAATTATGCATTCACGGTGGGCTTGTTCACACCATGTCCAGACCAGATCTAGAGCAGATCTGGAAACGTATTGCAGTGCATTGCATTTTCGCCGGGTTTTTTTTTTTTAAGCTTAACCACCTTCCGTCCATGGCCGTTTGTGAACGGCCGGACGGGAGTCTGCTAGGAGCGGGAGGGCGTCTTAAGATGTCCTGCCCCTCCCCCCTCTCGTGTGCGGCAATCAGAGCGCACACGAGAGGGAAAACTGTGAGCATGTAAACAGCCATCTATGTCCCGCCGTCTTCGCTGCCGGTCCGTGATCCGATGTGGCCGGTGCGGCTGGGACCGGCATGGCGACGCTCTAACAGCAGATCAAAAGGGAGATCATTACTCGATCTCCCTTTGATCTCTCTTCCTGTCCCCGAATGCAGGAAGTGATATATGTTACATCACTTCCTGCATTCAGTGTCACTCTCCGGTGCAGAACACCGGAGAGAAGCTGATGAAGCAGATCTCTGCTTCATCAGCTTCTGTGGAGGTCCCTAGGAGTGAGGTCGGAGTGAGAGCAATAATTCTAGGGCCATCAATCACTGATAACACTAAACTGATGAGCGGTAAAAACGTTTAAAGAGTCGCCTATGGCCAATTTTGGTTGCGGTCGTTTTCTGCGATTTCGCGGGCGCGCGCAATTTTAAAGGTTGACATGTTTAGTGTCTATTTACCCGACGTGACCCCGTCTTTTATATTTTACCAAAAAATTGGGGTGAAAATAAATGTTTCATAACATTTTATAGGGAAAACATGTTTTTTTTCAAAATTTAGGGTACTTTTTTTGTTATATAGTAAAAAATAAAACCCCCAGTGGTGATTAAATACCACCAAAAGAAAGCTCTATCTGTCCCCAAAAAAATGGTATGAAATTCGTATCAGTACAGCATTGCATGACTGAATAAACGTCAGTCAAAGTACCGCAGCGCTGAATACTGAAACATGTCCTGGCCAGGAAGGGGGTGAAACACCCCGGTCTTCAAGTGGTTAACATGGGCTTTCAGGTTCAGTCTAATGCGTTTTCATGTGTTTTTTTTATGTGTTCCAGTGCACTCCAGACCAGAGGAGTATTTTTACTCTGGACTGGAATGGACAGCGCTGGTGTGAACAGAGCCCAGAAATACCATAGGGATACTTTTTTGTTCCAGTAAACTGTTCTGGTCATGATCCGGACATGGTGTGAACAAAACCTAAAGCAGTAATTTGGTACAAATGCTTACAGGTAGGGATGTACCGATACTAGTATCAGTATCGGGGCCAATACCAGGCATTCTCACGAGTACTTGTACTCATGAAAATGCCCCGATTAAGGCCGATACCGGCCCTTTCAATTTTTAAACCGTAGCGGTTGCTATGTTCCCACGCTGTCCCTGGCAGTGACTGTCCGGTTCTATATCTCCTGCTCTTCCTTTCTGACGCAGGCACAGCACAATACAGCCCCGGAGATGGCACCCGCCCGATCAACTCTCCACAGCATAGCCACTGCCCACAGAGCCCTGCATAGATCCACATGCCGCCAGGGTGAGATTGCAGCCTGGGGGACACGTATTGTGCTCTGCGGACATCTGTATTTAGCTCTGGTGAGAAACTGCCCTAAAATCATCAGTCTGTGTTGATTTAGAAAAAATGTAATGTCCCTTTAAGAAAAAGTATCGGTAATTGGTAACGGCAAGTACCTGAGGGCAAGTACTTTGTCTTGAAAAGTGGCATCGGGACATCACTATGTACAGGTGGTTATCTACCAATGAATGCATCCAACTGTTCAAGAGATGTAGACAAGAGAAGGACATCTATCTATCTATATCTATAAATTGGAAGAAAAACCCCCCACCATGAAAAGGTTAGATGCTTGCTATCATACCAAGAGACAAAGACCACATATGGAGAGTTAAGTCTCATAAAAACTTTAAGAGGATTGTTCATATCTTCAAAGGAAAAAAACTTTGAAGATAAAGTAACCTCATTCAGCATTTCCCACACTCTGGGAATTTGCATCTTTATGCTCCCATGCTCTCAACAGGCAGGTAAAACTTAAGCGAAGTTCACTTAATCAAGGCCGAAGGAGCCTTACCCAGCCCCCACTCAGGTGAAAGCAATCATAGCCTTCCAGCTACACAAAAAGCCCAGACCAGGTGGTAAACCATAGTTGCGAACAGCAACTCTTTCTAGCTCTGAGGCACTAAAGACATCCTTGCAGCCGTTAGTGTCCAAACAGCTGACACAGAGGAATTAGGCTGCATGGTGTAGCACTGCTGACCAGAGAAAGCCTGCTGGAACCCTCCATGTTCATGACAGTTTGTGCTCCATCCCCCATCTGCTGCACTCTTTGCCTCACGTCTGTGGATCCTGGCGTCAGCGTCTACACACGACTCCGTCGCATAGCTTTTCATTCAAGAAGGCTCAGGATGCTACTGGATATGAATATCCACAACATGGCAGCATACATAGGGGGCATGGATGGTCACCAATGGTTTCCCCCCATTCTACCAGAGCAATGCAGTGGATAACTCAGAGCCAAATGAAATGTGAGTAAAAGAAATGTGAGCAGTTATGCACCTGGAGATGGTTGTTTTTACTCAGGGTGGAAAGAGGGTCCCACAATTAGGATATACGCGGAAGATTAATCCTAGAACAAGCCCAGGCATGCATCCCCTCCAGGTCCATTGTCCCTGATTCACGGGGTAACACGCACTGGGAGGCCCCTGCAACTAGCATGCAGGCCTATGGAAAAATAAAACGGTTACGATGTTCCTGTTAGGCCGGAGGAAAACACAATCTGGTGGTTCTTCCGCAATACTGAGGTGGTTGGGTGGCACCGCCCCTTTTATTTTAATTGTGGATGTGTTTCCTGTTGTAGGTGGGTGGATCCTCTCTCTCCTGTGCTGCCCTAGAAAATGAATTGGGAAAAGTTAAAAGAAGAGATAATTGCCCTTCACAAACAAGGAACACGATACAAAAGATAGTAAAGGCACTCAATGCTCCTAGAGACACTGTTGGAAGTATTACTTGGATGGGACAGAAAAAGGAAGTTATCAATGGCTCTAACCAAAATTTTGAGAAGGCAGGTCGAGAAAAATCTGTGACTGCAAAAGACCTGCAGCATGGTGGCAACAGAAGACGTACACCACTAGTGACCCAAAAGCGCAAGAAAAGTTGGCTCCAATTTGCTCAAAATCATCTAATAAACCACATCAGTTTTGGGATTATGTTCTGTGGAGCTTTGAAACAAAGCTGGAACTTTTCAGCCCTGTGGATCAGCGGTATGTCTGGAGAAAGAAGAGTGAAGCATACGCTGAAAACAAAAACTCTGCCCCGAGCATGGTGATGGCTCGGGGATGCTTTGCATCCTCTGGCACTGGAAACTTGCAGCGTGTGGAAGGCAAGACGGATTACTTGAAGTATCAGGAAATCCTAGGAGAAAGGGTCATGCCATTTGTGAGGAAGCTGAAGCTTGGGCATCGTTGGACCTTCCAACAGGACAAGGATACTTCAAATTCCACAAAGGCCTGGTGGCAGAAGAAGCCCTGAAAACATTCTACAGAGGCCATCACAGTCACCTGACTTGAATCCCATCGAAAATCTCTGGTGGGATTTGAAGGCGGTTACAGCACGCAAACCCAAAAATATTAGTGAATAGCAGGCCATTGCTCATTGGGCTAAGATTCTTCAAGAATGCTGGCAAAAGCTGGTGTCTGGCTATGCATCTCGATTGCAGCAGGTCATTACAGCAAAAGGGTGCGCTACCAAGTACTAAAGACACTTGCCATAAAAGGGGTTGAAAAATTTTGAGACAACATAAGTAATTAAAAGTTGTTTTCAGTGTAATTTGGGGAAACCACTTGAAACATTTGTTGTGTTGATCTATTTCAATTGCTTTTGTTTGATTTGTACATTACAAGCAGCTGAAAGTTTGTAAATGTTGCCTATAAACCCGATTTGCAATGGGGGTTGAATAATTTTGATTACAACTGTATGTTAAAACTGAAAGGAAAAAAAACCCCACTTTTATGCATTCCTACTCATTGCTTGTACTCTGGACAAAGGCAGACCCTTAAAAAAGCTCACAGCATTGTCTGCTGAAAACCCTCAACAAACTCTCAAGGCCGATGTCAAGTTCACAGTCCTTTAGGAGGTCATCTTGTCAAGGTTTTGTGTCAGCTGCATGAGGCCGTGCACCAGTGTAGCATAAAGCACTGCACGGTCACAGCTATACAACAGACAAGCACAAATATGTCCTTGTCCAAATGTATGACCTATGTAAAAAGAACCAGTTACTATATATCAAATGAAAAATAATTTATTTTACACACCAAACACTGATGCAGAATAAATACTATGTTCTGTTGCCAAAGTGAACATCACATCATATGACTCCCCCTCCCTATATGTGTGAGACATGGGTCATCTGTGCTCTTAGCTACCACAAACAGGTTATATGAGTGTCCCCTCCCCTGCTGCCTATAAGCCTGAGAGACTATATTGTGCAAGCGGGGATCGGGCACCTGTCACTTCTGGTCATACTGCCAACGTGACACAAATAACAGCTGTCAGTCCCTTTAATATTATCTCCAGCAGAAGACTGCCAAATTGTCATCTGTCTGCCTATTCAAATAGGATACACAACAAAATCACTATGTGCATGCTTCCACAACACAAAAACAAAGGAAACACCCTTACAAGTGCATATACTCTTATGCACACTGCTAAAAACACATACATGTATATGAATCAGATGTTTGTGGGGAACAATGGACTAAAACATGACCAAAATTCGAAAATGTATAACTTCATTTCTATATAATGTAAAAAAAATGGTTTTGAATACAAATTTTAAAATTATACACTTGTTTTCTTAATTCAGTTCTGTGTTTCTTAGTGCAATTGTTATAGAGCCCTTATGACTTTTTAAGGACTTTCGTGCGTGCCACCCGCAGATGTAGCAGTGCCGTCCATCCGTTTTTTTACTACGGGCAGACGGCAAGAGGTTAAGGTACACTGTCAGGGGCTAATGTGAATGTAATGCTGACTGAAGTGCTAAGGAACAATATAAAATTAAACAAACTGGGCTTTTTTTTTTGCATTGGGCTTTACATGGTTTATGTCTTCTACAGCCAAAGGTTCGGCATGAGCAACCACCAGGTATACTAGTATACCCCTTAACTGCCAGGGAGTATAGACTGACTATGGCTGTACAAGGTGGCTACATTCTAAATTTGTATAGTATAGGGAGTTACATTTAAGTTATAGATTAGGTAAGCATATGCTGAACATCATGGTGTACCATAGCATTCAAAGTAAACAAATGTTACCACATACAGTTACATAATCACATGGAATAGACCACATCAAGTAGGTCTAATTTGACACACAGCAGAGACTGATGATCACATGTCACTATGAAGCTCTAGAGTGGTCAAATTAATCAGAATAATCCGTACAAAACATATTAGTAATTTTTACAGATTCCATTTTGTTTGTACATGCTCCATGCAGAGAATTAAAAACAATTCCTGCCTTCTAAAGATTTAACTATGGTTGGAGTAACATAAGGTGACCCCATTCCTGTCTGCGTTGCAGACTGCTCACATGTCAGACACATGTGAGCAAAAACAGCCCCTGACCCTTCTTCTCCAAAACAACCACCCTCCTCCCTTGATCCTGTTTCAACAAGTCTGTGTACAAGTCCAGGCATGTACACCTCTGAAAATGGGGTGATTATAGAACAGTATACCATGCTTTGGCAAAGTATTTTTTACCTCTTTTCCGAGTTCTGTGTTTTCAGATGGAGCAGATGCTCCAAGTTCCTCTGCTTCTCGTCCTTGTTCATTTTCTATGGTGTCCCGGAGGCTGCTCTCTGAAGTTGGGAGGTTCTGCGGACTGTCCGTAGATCGGCTGGAACCAGTCTGAGCGCTGGACACAGAGCCCTCAGCTTCCTTGTGCACTAACCAGGCATCAAGCTCAGTGCTGGGTACCTGCAGCCTGTCTAGCGCACGCATGCGGCTTAGCAGTCTGCGGGAGGTGAAAAACTGGTCCAAGTCCACGCTCTTGGGATGAACTCCATAACCTTCAGAGGTGCCACGAAGGCTGTGGAACTGAGTCTGTGTATACGCTGATGTAGGCCCCAGGATGATCTCGTGCAAAGGGGGCAGGTGAGAGGGCAGATATGAATCCAGGTCCACACGCACACCCATCAGACTCAGGAGAATGGTGAACTGGATAAGACCCTCCGTCAGATACTTCTTCAAAGACAGCATGTCTGGGAGCCCCAGGGAAGAAGGAACCCCCAACACTCACACTTCCGTGTTCTCTAGAATTTGTTCCGATTGCTTACCTTTACAAAAACAAATACATTGTGTTAGAGGTTAAAAGCATTCACAAAGGCAACATGAGTTTACGCAAACTATAGCCCAATATCAAAGCAGACGTTAACCAAGGCATCCTAACCAAGCCATTCCAGGGTGATGTGGAACATTAGAACCCTCCAGCTGCGGCTGACACCTATCCCATCTGATTGTACCTGCAGTATTCCGGGTCCAAAGTCACTCAGCCCCAATCACACCTGAGCATTCGGTAATGCACCTGACTAAGCTCAACATTCAGAATGCCATTTCCACTTATTCCTGTCCACATTTGAACTGTCAGTCACTTGTAGCTTGATGCTCTACACTCAAAGAAGTAGATTAGCTTTTTTTTTCTCCTTTTTTGGGGAGTGTAATCAGGCGTTTTCGACCCCATAGACTTTAATGGGAGCGCCTGTAAATATGAAACATATGTGTTTTTGGGCTTGAAGAACTGCTCATCATTGGCCACAACACCAGCACAAAACTGGGAAAATGCTTTCTAAGCATGTGTTTATGTGCAAAAATAAAAGTTTCAAACATTTCCAGAAATACACTCTGCTAAGGTGTGAATGTGTCCTACACAGAGCAAGCAGGATGACACCATATAGGAGGTCTGTAACTAGGACATTCTGACCACCACTGTAAGGGGACATCCTTCTCACTAACTCCTGGTGAATTCATTTAAACAGGGATTCCCTAAAAAGCTGAAACTGAAAAATTCCTCTGGAGTAAAGTGTTTGAGAAAGGCTGTCAGTGGAAACATTGACTTACAGAGGGATTGCATAAGAACACCTTGTAATTGCATCAAGATAAAACAATAACACAAGAAAACTGCTCTGGTGTCCATCTACTGTCGCTTGCCATGAAAAATGTAGATAATCAATGTTCAAAGTGAATCCCCATTGTACTCAGAGCCTCTAATGTAAATGTGCGAATCTCTGATCTGACCCCACTCTGTATCAAGATCTGGTAACCAAAACAAAGCTTCAGAATTTTACCTTTCACCTACTTTAGATCACAGCGGAAATCCCCTTCTCCTGCCATGTGTCAGATCACCCCCACATGTCATCAGCCAGACCGGGTTAGATCAGATCACCCCCACATGTTATCATTCAGGCCCAGTTAGATCAGATAACCCCCACATTTGACCGTAGGCAAACAAAACAAACAAGCAGTTAACCCTTGCAGTGCAGGGGTAGCCTCACTGTAAGAGTTAATAACATTTGTTCCCGGAGTTCCACTTTAATTATTCAGTTTGATGGCATGCACATGATTTGTTGAGGAGCCCAGCCATGCAGGTTCCTTCCCCTACTCACCCCATATATTTATAATCATCTAATCCAGTACACCAACACCCACTGCCTGCGATCCTTTGTGTTGATCAGCTCTTTCCTCTGCTAGGTGATGAAATGTTAGAGGGTTTCCTTTCACCACACCCCTGACATCTTTACCATCAGAATGACCAGAAACACCCCATAATGTACTCACAGAGAACAAGACAATAAAACAAAGTCCACCTGGAACAACCTACTGCTATATTCCGCTAAATCCGTCATCCTAGGGCGCCCTAAACCCCCACTTTGCGGACCATACGACCTTCCCCAACACGAGTACGGGCTGTCAGAGGAGAAGCACCAGAGCCCAGCACGCCTATCAAGAAAAGGAGTCCGCTCACCGAAATGTTACTCCTCGTGTATCACAACCCATCCGCCCGCTACCACGACTAACACTTCCGCATCATCCGGCAACACAGCCGCACGACACCTACTAATCACCTCCCAGAATAACATCTCACACACCATCCGGGAACTGAACGACATCAGGCACAGCCAATCAGAAAAAGACAACACCAGAGGCAACCAATCACCGGTCTGAAACAGACCACACCACACAACTGCCACTGACAGCTCGGCGACAAATAGCACCAGCCAAGAACTCAAGGATGCTTACCATTTCATATAACTAGGTCCCCCCAGTCAGAGGAAGCAAACTGCTGTAACAACGCATCATAAAAGTGCTCACTTTTCTTGTAATCCTCGTTGGTAGCTGCTAGTGACGTCACCATCCTCCTAGTACAGATTGACCCTCCATGCAGTCAGGAGGTGGATCTATGAAAGGAGTGCAAGTCATTTCCGTGTATAACAGACTACATGTCCCATAATGCATTGTGGAATAGAGGAAGTATACTATAGGCTGAGCTGGGGGCGGAGCTGAGCATGGCTAGCAAGGGTATAAGAGCGTGTCAATATTTAATGTACGCTCCCACTCACCCATCCATCCACACAACGCTGCCACCACCATGAGGGTTTATTTATACAGGCTGTCAGCAAAAACTAGGTAGGCTAGTGTAGTGAGTTGGAGGGTTGTGGCAGGCCCCGCCGTGTTGTACTGCATGCAGCCAAAGCTGTCTCCGTTTTTATTTTTCCTATATAAACTTTATTTGGAGTGTATACTGCACTGTATACTGCAATATGTGTATATTGCACTTCACAAAGTTCACATTTAGTGAAACCATTTCCTCTCCTACGACAATGTAAGCATATCTTGCACTACTTTTTTGCACAGCCAGTCCCATTTGTTGTCATGGAGCGCCGAGCGGAGTCACTCAGTCCCATGAGTTGTCACGATGGTCCCAGCAGAGTCACTCAGTCCCATAAGGGCCGGTGCAGACCTGAGTGATCTGGGATGCAAGTCCCGGGATCGCTCGGCTGTGCACAATAGCAGACAGCGATTTCCACGCAGCCTCATTGATTTCAATGGGGTACATCCACGTGGCAATCGCAGAAAAAAGGTACATGTACCTTATTTTGCGATACATGTCATACAGCTGTTTTAGCTTCGACCGTGTTCGGTTGCATGGGCGGAATCGCGATTGGCAGTGGTGGGCAGTCGCCACGTGACCGTGCTGCAATCTGCCCCATATCGTGCAAAATTGCCGCACGGTCATGGATCGCCCAGGTGTGAACCTGGCCTGAGTTGTCTCAATGCTCCCAGCGGAGTCACTAAGTCCCATGCGCTGTCACGCAGTTCCAAAGAGAGTCACTCAGTCCCAGACGCTGCTTGGAGCTGCATGATGATGACGGAGTGACTGTCCCTGCAACTCTGTGAATGCAGCACCCAGTGAACTCACTCAGTCCCATGCGTTGACACACAGCTCCCAGTGACGCCACACAGTCCCAATTAATTGTCACGTAGTTCCATGTGTTGTTATGCAACTATCTGAGTGACTCTCCCTGGAATTGCGTGCCATAGTTAGCCTGCACACCCATGGCCCACAGTCAATCGTCAGTAGAGTGGACCTGATGGGGAAATGTGTCCTGAGAATTCCCCATCATGCTTCACCCTACTGGGAATTCTGGGAGCCCATTACCCCATCAGGTCCACCTTATTGCTGATTAAAAGCAGGCAGTGGGTGTACCATAGCCAGCCTGCTATTGGCCATGGAATATCCACTGGCTGCTGTTAATCAGCAGTAGAGCGGACCTGTAGGGAAAATGGGCTCTGAGAATTCCCCATCAGACTCTGCAGCCCTGACAGTACAAGCTTTTAACAATGCTGTTGGCTACAGGCGACAGTGTCCTTAACCACCTCCCATCCATATCCGTTCCTGAATGGTCAGACGGGAGTCTTGTAGTAGGAGCTGGAGGGTGCCTTAAGACGTCCTGCCCCTCCCCTCGCTCATGTGCGGTGCTCAGCAAGCACATGAGTGGGAAACTGTTAGCAATGTATTACAATGTATTGGCTGTTTACATTCAAGCGATCGGGCGTCTCTAGAGATGCCCGATCGCTTGCAGGAGCTGCGGGTGTGTGCCCCCCTCCGCTGCTGCCTCCTCACAGACGCTGGCACAGCGACCCTCTCAGTGGAGATCAAAGGGAGATCAGTATACAAACTCCCTTTGATCTCTTTTCGGTCCCCGAATGCAGGAAGTGATGTGTATTACATCACTTCCTGCATTCAGTGTCACTCTACGGTTCCAGATGCCGGTGAGAAGCTGCTTCACCAGCTTCTCTGGGGGTCCCTAGGTGACATTAGGGGTATTAGAGACCCCTAATGTCTCCATAAAGAGGACCTGTCATGTGAATTGGCTGTCACACAGGGGATTTCTTAGTCCCCTATGTGATAGCAATAAAGTTAAGTGGAAAAAAAAAATGAAAGCATAAAAAAATAAAGAAGCTAAAAAAAATAGTCACAAATGTAAAATTTTTTTAAAATAACGCAAAAATGTTTTTAAAGTCCCCTGCCCCCCACATACACACGCAAACATGCGCCGGGTGCGCCAACGTGCGAGAACGACGATTATGCCTATTGTGTCACATGTTACATATCGCTTCCGTCTTTTATATTTTACCAAAAAATTGGGGTGATAATAAATGTTTCCTAACATTTCATATGGAAATTTTTTTACAAAATTTAGGGTACTTTTTTTGTTATATAGAAAAAATAAAACCCCCAGTGGTGATTAAATACCACCAAAAGAAAGCTCTATCTGTCCCCAAAAAAATTGTATAAATTCATTTCAGTAAAAATGGCATAAAATTCATTTCAGTACAGCGTTGCATGACGGAAATGTCATTCAAACTACCGCAGCGCTGAATACTGAAAAATGGCCTGGCCAGGAAGGGTGTGTAACACCCTGGTCTTCAAGTGGTTAACAGCCAGTGATGTAGAGTGGGCAGGGCCTGATGGGAAATTCTGAGAGCCCATTTTCCTATGAGGTCCACTCTACTGCTGATTGAGTCAGGGGCATAAGAATTGTAAAGCTCTTTTCATGGGATTGCAAAAGCACTATATACCTTATACATAAAAAAAGGTATATATATATATATATATTTTTAGGGATGCACCGATACCGGTCTCATTCAGACCCACAGGTGTAAAACTATTTAAAGAATAAATCCAATAATAGGGATGCACTGATACCGGTTTTTCGATATTGAGTACGAGTACCGATATTTATTTCCCGGTACTGGCCGATACCAGAAGTCCCATTAAGCAAGCCAGGTCAGCATGTATTACATGGGCGGACTGACAACACATTGGGCCCCCGGGCAATACATGATTATGGGGCCCCCTTGTGCTCCGCCCATATACAAGCCCCTCCCACAAGTCCCACCTGTATAAACATTCTTGTGTCACAGATCAGGAAGGCACAGCCCTCTAATCAGGTATGTTAGAGGGCCGCCCAAGGCTCTAATTGGGAGTGAGCAGCCGCCCGATTAGAGATTGTGTAGAGATGTCTCCAGCACACCAAAATCCTTTTTAGGATAAGCAAATGTTCATTTATTGAAGTTCCTTGTCATATAAACAACAGTTGTAATAAATGAACATTTGCTTATCTTAAGAAGGATTTTGGTGTGCTGGTGACAGCTCTACACAATTGCTGATATTTGCGGCGCCATCCGGTAAGGAGTACAACAAGGAAAAGTATTTATCGCCCGATTAGAGAGCCGCATCTGCTGCGGGAGGGCTGGGTCAGAGAGGCAGCGGAGGGAGGGACCCACTGCATCTGCAGCCGGGGGCTTAATTTAGCGGGGGGCAGAATGGGACCTGCTATATAGAACTGCAAATACCAACAGAACTTTATACAGCAATGCCATCAATTGGGCTACAAAAAAATAAAAATAATAATTTTATTTATTAACTTACCTTCACCTCCTCTGGCTGTTTTGTGAGCCGGGCAGCAAGTCATTACATGCTGCCTGGCTTCCTGATTAGCTGGGAAGCCGACTCCATGCTCATGGAGCCGGCTTCCCGACCAATCAGGAAGCCAGGCAGCATGTAATGACTCGCTGCCCAGCTTCCTGATACCAGAAGCTCTGGTATCAGGCTAGGTATCGGAGCATTTGGGCGAGTACGGGTACTCGCCCAAATACTCGGCACCGATACCAATACTAGTATCGGTATCAGTGCATCCCTATATATTTTGTTTTACATCAACTTCCCTTACTACATTTACCAAAATCCATAAGCTCTAATACACAAGAGGATCTTGTGAATCCTCTCTCCTTTCTCGTGTCTTCAACTGTCTTGTCTGGTACCTCAGTGTCCTATGAAACATGGTAAGAGAAATGTTAAGCTGTCAGTTGGATGAAGACAACCAGCACAACAACATCTCACCTGATCTACTCTTCGCTGAGCTACTGACATGAATTCCCAACTACATCAGCCCCCATTGATTTTAATGGGTTCCTACACCCATAGTATTGCCTATAGAAAAATCTGCGACATACGTTCCACATTTTTTTCTTCCGCGTTTGTGCATGTTGTAACACGCACAAACACAGAGAAGGAAGACGCCAACTCATTTGGGGTACAATTAATTAGTAATGGCACCGCAAGTTTTTGCAAACGCGCCTCAAAACTCTTTTTGTGTGAGTTTGATGTGCATTCCCACAATGCTTAGGCGTGGACCAAGCCTTAACCTGTGTACAGAATCTTGTAACCTCCTCACTGTTTGAAGCTGCTCCCCCTTTCACATCCCCTACTGCCTGTGCCTTTCCCCCTTCATCTGATTTCCTGAGCATATAAATGGATGACTTACAGCCGAGACATCTGAACAGCTTGCTGGCCATGTCTGTGGCACCTGCTCCCCCTTCCATTGCTGATGTTGAGGGGGCTATCCCTGTCAGCAGTCGCTGAAGGCATAATGGGAACTGGAAAGCACCCGTGCACAGAACAACTCCTTTATCTGAATTGATAGAACGATTGTCTTCTGCTGTGTTGCCAAACTGCTGCTGAGGATTGGCAGTAGTTTGGTCAGCTTCAGAAGTTGCCGGCCCCTGTGGTTTATCTGTAAATTTAAGTAATGTTCCAAAAATATTAGGGAGAGAAGATATGGTTTGTGAACTTTCTCCTCTCGGTTTTCACATTGCTAGTGCTGTTGAAGAAAAAACTCTGGAATGGTTGTATCTACTCTTGCCCAAAAAGCTGTTGGTTTTTAAACAGACTTTTCGATTGTGTTCAGATCAGGAGACATACTTGGCCACTGAATCGCTTTCACCCTGTTCTTCTTCAGAAAAGCAACGGTGGCCTTAGGTGGGTTTTGGATAATTGTCATGTTTGAAAAG